ACAGATGGATTTCTCCAGTAAAACCAAATAGTGCCTTGCATATAATCATAATACTATAATATATGGTGTGTGTATAGTATGTTCACATTGTTTGAAGACTCCTACTCACACCCTTTCTTAGAAAGAAAAACTTTCCCATTAGTTTCTTGCTTAATCAGTGTTTCTATCAATAATTAATTTGTTTAACAATTAACTTGTTAAACATCTCCTAAACACCTTAAGCACCGTTTAGAGGCTCAAGCACAGAGGTTTTTAAAATGTTATGTGTTACCATTTTTAAAATGCTGTGGGGACCTGGACGAAGGAGCAAACGTTTTGAAGAGAGTTCCAGAATGTTTCACAACTGAGATTGTTCTTGAAAAGGGGCTAGGAATGTGCCTTCGAGGAAAATGGGAAAGGGCATTCAACCACAGAAAGCAAACAGCGCCTGCAAAGCAACAGAGGCAGGAGAAGGGCCAGGCTGCCCGGGGTGGGATGGCAGATAGCATGGCACCTTGGAAGGGAGCACGAGCAGGGGTGCGGGCAAAGCAGGATACAGAGAGGTCAGGAGGCAGGCGTCTGCTGGAAACTGGTTCTCAAACAAAATAATACAGAAGCATAAACAATCCGATTATGGAGTTTGCCGATTTTGGCAAACAGCCCCATCTGATTTCCAGCTATCACTGATTGAAGAACTGGCTCATAAAATTCCTGAATATTTTATAACAATTGGTTCTCATGAACACTTGGTATTAGGTGGTTTCAGTGTGTCACTGACTGAAGGGGAGATCCTTTCACTGAAAGAGATGTTCTGAAAATAACAGTCCCCTTTTCCTCAGCACGTTTTGTCTCGCACTGTGATGAAGCCTGTTTCTATCCATTTCGAGTAGAGTGGATGTTTCTGAAAATTCACCAGAGCTAATTCTCCCACCACCCACAGGTAAGTACGCTTGGACATGGGCAAGAGGGGCCCCTGCTTTGGCTCCCGTGCTTAAATATCCTGGTTGTGATCCCCTAAATGGATGCCTGCCCATGAAGAATCCGTGGTGCCATACCCTGCAGAAACATATCTACACCATGTGCTCCATGTGTCCTTGGAATTGTCTCTGGCAATGGAATATTACCCAACACCACCCTCTCTGAGGGCGTGCACCTCATCACCAAGGCTGGCCAAAGAGTGTTATTTGCCAAAGGTATGGGTACTGTGCAAAGTGGAGGCTGGAGTGTATGTGTGTACACACACACACACACACAGTGTGGCCCACCATGTTGCGGACTGAGCTGTGGGTGGGAAACAAAAAAGAAATGAACAAGTTTCAAGTTCAAGGGACTCCCTACGTGCCCCGTTTTGGTGAAAATCTCTTCTGAGTTCAACCATTCTAAGTGCAAGTCTGGTCTTCTCAGTCATTATGATGGCATCTTTGCCAAATTCAGAGAACAGAGCACTTTGTTAGCTGAGTTTGTATTTTAAATATTTAGATCTATGCCGTGTGAGCCTTTACCTGTCCTCCTGTCTTGGGCCTTGCCAATGCTAGAGGTAGCCTAGTTTACTTCATTACCTGGGCTGTACTCTTAACCAAGGCACACACAAACCTTGTCTCCCAGGCCAATTCCTACCCACTGCAGTTTATACGTGGTTTGCTAGTGAAGAACAGCTTTCATATTTTTAATAGTTTTAAAAAAGAAAAATAAAACCAATTTTTCCTGGCTTGTGAAATTTACATGAAACCCGTATTTCAGTATCCACAAATTGTGTTTTGGAACATATCCATGCCCACCCATCTACGGGCCTGACCTGTTTTTACATGAGAGTGGCAGAGTAAGTCACTGTGACAGAGACTGGCTGGCCTGGAAAGCCGACAGTGTTCACTATCTGTCACTTACAGGAAAAGTCTGGCTGTGCTCCCCCTCGAGGGGTAGGTAGGAGGACAGGGGGCCTAGCAGTTCCCACACTAGCTGCAGAATACAATCACCTGTTGAGTTCTCAAAACGGACCGGTGCCAGGTTGCCACCCCCAATTATGGATTGGTCTGGTGTGGAAGTGTTTTTTAAAATTTCCTAGTGATCCAAATGCAAGCCAGGGCTGAGAGTCCCTGGGAGAGAATGTGTAGGAGAGTCTGAATTTCCTGAATGTTCGGAAGGATAGCTGCAGGAATTGTGTCTGCTTTCCTCAAGGACCTTAGTGGATCGCTGCCTTTCTTTGCCTTCCTTTGGGGAAGCAAGGGCCTTAGTTAACAGACTTGGTTGAAGGAGAGAGTGAAAAGGCACTGTTTTTCACTGCATTATGATTCACAAAGCTGTCTTATTTTAACCTAAGCCCTCGAACTGCTGGTTCAGATGTGTTCCTGGACTTCCCTGGCACTAGCTGCATCTGGCAGGCAGGTGCACCTTGCGCTGTGTCACACACACTTTTGCAGGAATCCCTGCTGGGTCACTTCTCAGGATACACCCCGACAGGGAAGCCTCACCCCGTCTTCGAAGTATGTCCTCCATAATTATTGGTGGTCTTGCAGAGAAGAAAAAAAAGACAACTCTATCAGAACCTCATGCTCCACTTACACAGTCAGCACCACTGGCAGAGGATGCTCCGGGGCTAGAAGGCAGCTCTGAGCTATTATTGTGCCTGGCTCTCTCTCAGTAGGACTCAGCGCAGACAATATAGCACACTGAGAGCACGGGGAATGAACAGTAAATATGAGGCCTTGGATTTTTTTAATCTTGTCAGTTTTTCCCTGATTTGTGTCCTTTATCCTAGCCCCCTCTGCTATGTAAGCTTCTCAAAGCTAATGCCCATAACGCCACCACCCACTGGCAGCAGCAGGTTGCCGGGCCACTATAGGGCTCTCGGTGCAGAGATTTACAATGCCTGCCGTTATTCCGCAACTGTACGTGTTAACCCGGTGGCACAAGGTTGCTCCAACACCTTCCCCTCTGGTTTCTCTTTAAGCTGGGGGCCATCAGCAACCGCAGGCATGCCGCCCTCCTGAATCTGACTGCTTGTCGCAGCCTCCACACATCACAGCCTCCAACCCGCAGTTCTGGAACGGCCTCTGGTGAGGGAAAAAGGGAGCCCTGGGCAATTACAGAGAGGAGAGGATGGCTGGCATCTCTGCTGCCAAGTTTAAAATGTTAAGGGTATTTCTCAGAGGTATTTCTTTGGCCTCTTGTAGATGATACCAGCGCTCTAGCTCACCGCCCTCTTTGTGAAGAGCTAGCGTGATTAAGTCTATACGCACAGTCCAGCTCTAAACCAGGAGCGGGCACTGAGGCTGCTGGGCATCACCTCGGCAGCGGGCACGTCGCTGGAAGTGAAAAGGGACACACATTTCCCTCCCTTGAAACACCAGGCCTCCCTGGCACAAGTTACCCCGTATTCTTCCATCATTCTAATAAATTTCAAATGTACTTTATGGCTCCCGTGTAACTAAAAAGTGTGCACAATACCTTAGTCTTGACTGCTATGAAGGCTCCTTCTACACCATCCTGTCCCCAAATCCAGTGGTGGTGACAGCCACTGTCTGAAAATGCCTTTGCAGTTGGTGCATACACCTCGGTGGGTGCTGCAGATGTGGCTCTCACAAGCTGTTGTGGAGCAGAATAGGCGCTGGCTGAAAATCCTGGTTTACTTTTGTGAGGATGTCACTATGTGAAGGGCTTACGAAGGTGTTATGGCTGATACACTGTGTCAACTTGGGGAGTCTGGAGATTTGGCTAAGTGACTCAGCAGGGAGCCAGGGTGCTTACTTTGTATACATCCTGAGCCTGTGGAAGAGGAGGGAATGGAGATTATGTGAGAGCTACACGCTCCCTGGGTGGGGGTAGCCTGCTTACAATGTAAGGGAGGGAAAGAGGCTGCTTGCCGCCATTCCCCGCTTTTGCTCTTGTTGCTTTGCTGTGTTCTGCCACCATGAACCTTTGCCCTCTGCCATGTGTCACTCTGCCTTGGAACCAGCCCAGTATGGACTGAAACCTCCACAAGCTGTGAGCTAAATAAACCTTTCCTTCCTTAATTTTGGGCATCATGTATTTTGTCCCAGCAACTAGAGAAAAGTAACCAAGACAAAAGGGAAGTCACAAGCTATAGAGAAGAGGGAGGAAAGAACCAGCTGCTCCTGGGTGGGAGGGGTCTGCCCAGGGGAAAGACTGGGTTCCTGATCTTAACCTGTAGGGTGAGCTTGTAAGCATTTTAAAATCATCCTTTTTTTGTTGTTGTTGTTGGTACTGAGAATTGAACTTGGGACCTTGCGCTTGCCAGGAAGGCGCTGTGCCACTGTGCTATATCCCTGGTGCTGCATTTTTAAATCATCAAGTAGCCTACCCACTAGTTGATGACTGTACTTGGTAGAATCTTATTTACAATTGGTCAAATCATGGGGGTTTGATTGGGACCTTGTAAGATGATGCTAGCAAAGAGAACCAGCTGCGGAGTTGGTGCTGTCAATCAAATGTGGGCTCGCAACATGCCCCGCCCATCAGGCTGTGGGAACCCCGAGGGGGCCTTCAGGGAAGGGTGCTCAGCTCAGTAAAGTGCAGTAATGCTTCTGCACAGTAGGTGTATGCTGAAGCTTTTTTTTTTTTTTGGTACCGGGAATTGAACTCAGGACCTTATGCTTGCTAGGCAGGCGCTGTATCACTGAGCTATATCCCCAGCCCTATGCTAAAGCTTTGATTTGTATTCAGAAGTGGGTGTTACTCACCTAATTTTAAGAATGAGGGGCCAATACAAGATAAATTATCAAAACAAAACCAGATATATGTACTCCAGATATATCTGAGATGGGTAGAACATGGGTATCACTGAGAGACAGAGGAACTTCTTTTGCAAGGCCCTATCCACCTAAATTTAGCATATCAACTCAAGGAAACAGGAGGATCTACAAGACTCCTGTTACTCCTTCCCACAGACTGTGTGGTCTCTTTTTTCACTCTTTTAAGAAGGGCTGGGTCAGAATTGTAAGACCATGTTCTCTGATGTGATACATGGTCTTATTGGGCATTCATGAAAAAGATGTACCAAGATGTATGGAGATTCTGCTATACTTTATTCCATATCATGTTACAAGGAAACAACAGTGACAGCTGACAAACCACTACATCCTTCATAATACAGCCGTGTAACAAACGGTAACAAATATGCAACATTATTCCATTCTCCTTACCATGTGTCATTTTGAAGTTTAATAGTTTTTTGAATGATGTTATTAGCACATTTCTGAGGTATCAATCCCATTAGAACGTGCACATTTCAGTGCATGAGAGAGAGAGAGAGAGAGAGAGAGAGAGAAAGAAATTTCCACTCCCAAACAGAAACTGTAAATTTTGTATGTGCTTCTAAAATATGCTGCTACGGGAAGAGGAATAACAGTAAATTGCTTATTTTAGATTTAAAAATTTTGATTTTTGATGTATAAGAAAATTGCAAGGTAGTAACATACAGGTTTCTCTGCCTGCAAGCCAGTAAAGGAGATGGAAGATATGCGTGATTATGCAGCATATTCCTATGTATAAGGGTGAGGCAATAATCTACCCCAGTATGTACAGTCTAAACATCCTCTTATGCAACAAAAGATTACAAACCTCTTAAGAAAGTCACAGATGAGTATCATATGGACGCATACCTAGGGTACTGATTACACTGGCTGTCATAAACACACTGAGGAAGGGATACTAAGAGGTCCTGCTTCCTCTGCAAGCCTGAGGGTCCCTGGAAACTTTTCTAATTGTTCCTGGGAGGCAGAAATAGCTTCACCCCCTTGCATCTCAGAGGGCAGCCCCTCCTGCTTCCACCCCTGCCTATGCCCTCTACTTTTTGCTAAACACTGCAAACACATTAGTCTTAGGTCCTGTATATCTTGTACTTGTAAGTCAATCAAACTGTATCTTTAGGAAAACAGAAGTCCTAAATCTCCTTTCACAATACTGTATGCAGAGACATAGTATGGATACAATCCCTGTGCTAGACTATTTGTACTATTCTTACTGGCTGCCTGAATTCAAGCTATTCCTTCATATAAAAATAAATCTCCCCAGAACATTCCAGTGCTCTCTCAAAAGTATAATAAATCTGCTAATGACCACAGTCTGTATTGATTTTCATGATGGCCCTCTGAGAGGGCAGGAGCAAAAAGTAGGGGAGGGAGAAGACCACTGCAACTACAAACCAAACTTTGGACTTGCTGCATGAACAGCAAGGAAAACCAGGCAGCCTCCTGAGAGGCATGTCTCTGTAATAAGACGGACTTCCTCTCATGGGGTAGTACTATGCTTTATTTCCTAAGAGAAGTTGTCTATGACGGGATACTGATCTCTCATCACCCTCACATTCCTAATTGAAGGCTTTCAGCATTGAGTATTTTCAAAGTTTCCAGTTAGAAACTTTATTAAATAGTAAGATTTAATCATCAAGCTCTTGATTTAAGCTTAGTGAAATACAGAAATTATGCTTTTCTTCCAAATGAGTAATCCCAAGCAAATCACAAGGAAGGCTGCTTTTGATTGCATGTAAAGTTTTCTCCCCATGTTTACTCTAGGAAATCCTAATGTGAGTGTACTTTAAACCAACATATCTCTGAAGACTTCTAGGGGGCTGGAATGTATGAAAGAGGAATGGAAAGTATTTCTAGGTAGTAAATAGTAAACATTCTTAGCTGTGTGTCTTTTGCTATCGTTGAAATGGATCAGCAGGGAATGCCTTGCTTGGTATTTACTGTGAGTACTGAATCTGGATAAAATGGGTTATGATCTTACCATGATCCACTAACCCCGTACCACTGAGGAATTCGGGGTCCGCTTCATAGGCGTATTGGGTTTCACTATAAAGAAGCTTTTCCTTCGCCCCACTCTCAGAAAGCCTTTGTCAAAATGGATCATAATTCCTAGTGTTGACCCTACAACAGTGCAACACATGTCAAGTTTGTAATCTCTCCTCCTTCTAATAGGAAAAGGTAAAACAATGTGCACAAAGATATTACCATGAGAATTTCTGTCCCGGGGAGCTACGTCCAGCAAAGCTCATGTAGATGAAGTTTCCTAACTGCCCCTTAGCCTCAGTATCTCTGGGATATGGCAGCCAGGGTGCCCCACGGGAGCCGGCTTGCCCCCGGCAGCTCCCCTCTGCACTGGAGCACTGGGCATCCCAGGTCAGCTTCCTCCTCCAAGGTCCCTCAGTGTCTTAAATGGGAAGGTGGGCTTTTCTTTTTCCCTGTTTGCACCTTTAAAGGAAGATTCCTGCACTGTTTCCAAAACCTGCATTTGCACAGTTATTCCAGGAGACTGTCTGTACCCAAGCCTGCCTTCTAGTCAGTTCAGAATACTGTTTAAAGACGTAATTCCAGGATGCTTTGCTGTCACTCAGCAAACTTCTAACTCTGGGTGATTCTGTGATTTGCTTTCTAAGCAATCATCAGCCAAGACTGCTTTCAGGGCTCATCCAGTCCTTTACACCCGAGTTTGAAACATTCTGTTCCTCACTCTTCTCCACTTAGAACATACAAAATGTAATGGAGTCGAAAGAAAAAAAAATATGATGACAAGATCCAGACTACACATAAAAAGTTCTTTGTTTCCAGAGGTTGAAAAAACAAGCAATTAGTCCCTCTCTGTGTTCTTACTGCTCGGTACTTGTTCCTTCACTTCCATCCTGCTCAGAAAACAGTTGTGCTATGTGGCTTGAAAATGCTAAGCAGATCCCAATACCCTATATAAATATGTGTTGATTTCCAAGAAAAAAAAATACCTCTGCAAATGTCCTTCAAGGTGGGGGCCCACACTTTGGGACCTGGCTATTGGTCAGAGAATAGCCGTTTACTTAAGCAGAAAACATCCTTCCTAGTGGTTGGAAAATGTGCACTGCTCTCAAAGAAAACACACATTGTTTTATGCTGCTGTGTGGCTTTCAAGTAGAGACATTACTGAAGAAGTGTGAACACCAAATGTGTTGTCTTAATGTATTTAAGACATGGCTGGTGAAAGCATTAAAACCTTTACAGAGACGCTGCACTGCAGAGGGAAATCAAACAAAATCAAACACAAAAGACTGAAAAGAATACATGCCATGTATCAGTAAGCAAAGCTTAATCTTCACATAGTTCTTGGAAATCACAAGGTATCCAAATGCGTGCAAGGTTTTAAATAAATTGCAGAGAAAACAGGGTCTTGCCAGCTTCAATTTTCTTGTAAGTGAAATCCACCACAGGGAGCAAAAGGAAACCGATCCATGATTCTCTCTGAATTATTGGCCACTTCATTAATGTTTTTTTTTTTCTTCCCAGAATGATGACAACTTAATCCTGGAAGGAGGAAAAGAGAAAATTGTTATATATATGTATATAAAAAAAAACTTACATCATTCAATTTCCCTAAAGTATATTAGACATCAAAATTGGTCAGGCCGAAGTGAGCTCACTGGTGTTCTCCAGGCTACTCTAAGTATATCTACTCAAGGTAGAAGAGTTCCCGAAACCAAACAACTCATAGTATGATAAGCAAATTTTCTAATTGCTTCCTTTAAAATAATTTAAGTCTATACATTCAAATGGTCTCATTTCCTCTTGGATTAGTTAGGGGAAAAAGAAACTCAGAGAATTTTCTTCGCCAAATCATTAGTTGTAAGGTATTAATTAAGTGCCTGTAGCATCATACAGACCATTAAAAAGATGTATCATTGTGTTCACATTTTATATGCATGAAATAGAAAAGTGGATCACAAACGTGCTTTAAAAGAACAGCTGTCTGTAATACCTCAATTACTTCACGTCAGCTATTTTAGTCTCCACAGAATAAAAATTGGCCAGCGTGACCTGAATTGGCACACCCTTCCTAACATCCTGCAGAGGACCCTACACTTCTAATGATGTCTACTACAATTTGGTAACTATTTACAGGTGGATGATTCAGGAAGGAAGAAGGAATGTTCCCTCCACATGTCACTCTACCTTTCTTCATCGTCTTTAAGTATCTTCACTGAGCCTTTAGGATGGGAAAATGATGTCTGGCCAAGTAAAATGTGGAACTTCTAGGTTCAAGTTCCAGAACTGAAGGAGTTAATCCATCAGCTACACATATCATGGAACCCACTCGTCAACTAAGTTTAGAAGCTTGCTCCTAGTCTTTAAAGCATAGCCAGGCTTGCCTGTCCACTTCTACAGCGCCATATTGTCATCCTCCTGACCCAGAGGAAACCTTGGATAAAATCTAATACAGGTTTTGACTTTTTTTTGAGACTTTTCAGTGTAGTTGTGCCCCACAAGCTGTAGTATCAAGCACATCACCCTACATGGCAGTGACCTAGCAAAACCTTGACCAAGAGAGCAAAAACTTCCACTTTTATAAACAAGAAGTGATCAAAATATATGGTGAGTACTTAAATTAAAAAAAAATTACCATAAAAGACACATTACCATGAGCTCCCCTAAGTGTGTGCTAACTTATATTGAGCACACTTATCCCATAGTTCTTGCCATTTTCTGAAGCAGTTCTGGAAGTCTCCTTTCATGAGGGTCTTTACAAGGTGTGATTGAAAAATACAGTGACTGCTGCCACCAAGGGCCATCCAGTGGAAAGGCAGCCTTGTTAAAACACAAAAGCATGGTGTCCTCATCCACCTTATTCAGCACACCTGGCACTGTGCAACTTCTGCCTCTCCCTTGAAACCAAAATGGCCGTACATGGTAAACGCCTTGAATCAATTCAGGTCAATAAGGGAGCCATGACAGTGCAGCTACACACACTCACAGAAGTGGAATTCCACAAGTTTCAGAAAGTGACAAGAACCACGGAATAAGTATGTCTGCTGTGACACGAGGGCAGTATTTTGGGGGAGACGAATGACAATGTGTCTTTTACCATAACACATTTTTAAAATTGTTTAGCATTCACTATGTTTATTGATCATACCAGGAGCATTTACAGCCCGTACAAGTAGCACTGTACCTACCTTCTATTCATCGCTTCCATTTACTGTGATAGTTTTTCAGAATGTTCACCTGCCTTTTGCTTTTTAAAACTGAGGTGAAATTCATATAACATGAAATTAACAATTTCAAAGAGTTTGATTTAGCGGCGTGGAGTGCATTTCATAATGTACAGCTGCCGTCTCTCGTTTCAAAGCATTTTCATCATCCTCAAAGAAGACTCCACACTCTTCCAGCTCTCACCTCCAGTCTTCCCGTGCACCATCTCTGGGCGACCGCTCACCATCTCTCTGCTTCTATGGATTAACCTATTCTGCATATCTCATGTAAATGGAATCATACACTATATGACTTGGTGTATCTGGCTGCTTTCATGTAGTATGTTTTTGAAGTTTGTGTATGTGGTAGTATGTATCAGTACTTCATTACTGTATATGGCAGAAAACTGTATTTTGTTTTTCTCTTAATGTATACTGGGCCATGTCACCCTTGATACTGTGAATAGTGCTGCAGAGAACGTTTATGTACATGTGTTTCCTCCAATATGTGCTTCCAATTCTACTGGGTATGTATGTAGGAGTGGGACTTCTGGACCATATGCAATTCTATATTTGACTTTTTGAATAACTGTTTTCCACAGTGCTCCACCATTGTATATTCCCACCAGCAATGTAGAAAGATCCCACATCCTTGTCATCACCTGCTGTTTTATTTTCTTCCCCTGCTTGTTTTTAAATTATAGCCATGGTAGTGTGGAGAAGTGGCTTGCATTTCATTTGTATTGATTTGCATTTCCCTATGGTTAGTGATGGTGAACATTTTTTCATATGTTTATTTGCCACAGGAATAGCTTGTCTTGAGAAATATTTCAAAACTGGGTTGTCTTTTCACTGTTCAGTTGTACTGCTTTATGTACGCTGGAGATTAATCCCTAATCTCTGATACATGATCGGCAAATATTTTCTCCTATTTCATGGGTGGACTTACCATTCTGTGGAGCATGTCCTTTGATGCACACAAGTTTTAAATTTAATGATGTATAATATGTACATTATTTTTCTTTTATTGCTTGTACTTTTGGTGTTACACCTAAACTCCATTGTGAAAGCCAAGGTTACAAAGATTTATATTTTCTTCTATCAGTTTTATAGTTTTTGCCTTTGTATTTAGATCTTTGGTCCATCTTGAGTTAATTTTTGTACATGGTAAGAGGTAGTGATAACCTCCTATTCTTAACAGTTCTCTTTCCTCAGTAACTGGGCAAAGTGTAAATAAAAGTCCCCACAGGTTTCTGGGAGAGTCCTGGCTATGGACGGATGACATACATAAGCGCTTTTCCCCATAGTATTTCAATCACGTATGTCCACAGTCATCTTCATCCAATCTCCAAACCCACTAATGACCTTGGAATTTTTATTAACTAGATGATAACAGTGTCCTTTTTACCCATGTAGCTTAAACAGAAATTAAGATTCTGGCTCTGCCAGGAGGCCGGTCAGCACAGACAAGGGTGCCATGCGGTTTCCCTTGGCACCTACTTGCCTAGGCATGGAGTTCCTATGACTAAGTGCAAATGATACAGTATTGGCATGATTCTCCTCCCCTCTGCCACTTCAATCAACAGAATGGAGATCTGGCACCCACGCTGACCTCCTGAACTAGGGACTTTATTTAGTCCTTCTGAGCTACTTCCTCTCAGGAAGCAAGTCAGGGTGCAGGTGGCATTATTATGTTCTATATTAAACTTGCTTTTGTTGCCCAATGTGTTCCCTTGAGGACAGCTCCGGTTGGCTGTAAGCTATCAGTAATTCTTGAACGAACAGGAAAAGGAAAAGGTAGGTTCTGAAAACCCAAGACTAGAAATAGTCTGAGGTGTAGCGTTCCCTTATGGCACTCTGACGGAGGGCAAACCCTGCGCCTGTCCTCTTACGTGTTGCTGAAATGACTGGAACAAAGCTGCCATTTCAGCAACAATACAGCGCTGGGGACAGGGCAGGTCATCCACAGATAACACCACCGTAAGAATGAGGGGTAGGAGTAACTTCTTTCTGTGGACCCGATTTTTAAATATTCCATGATATTCTAATTGAAAGGGAAGATTTGATTTCTCATATATTTGATTTCATATAACAATAAACTGTGACGTCATCACAGTCAACAGCATGTTACTATCCCGTTGGGTCCATCTAAGGCATTTTTAGTCACTAGTGGGTGTTTTACTCTTCCCTTTGCACTGATTCTTTGAGTATAATCTCTAGGAGAATCACATGTGCCTAACCTAGGGTGTAAGCATAATTGGATAATAAGGGATAATACATAATAACAGTAATTGGATAATAAATGGTGAATACAGTGATTATGATAAGTTCATTACTTAGATTTGGATTCTGAAATGCAGCGGAGGAACCCAGTGAAAAAGAAAATACGGAACATGCCAATGACGGTAAGAGCTCCATTTCTGCCAGGTCACTTTGAAGATTCCATGTGGTGCCTCCAACCTGTCTGCTGCTGTTCATGAGAGCACGGGAGTTCCTTTCTCCCAGCCTGAGCAGCGTAAGTTTTGAGCTTTAGCAAGGGCATATAAGGTAGGTCAGTTTATTGCTAGAAAAAAAATTAAAAATCTAAATATAATCGTGCATTGGAAGGGTGGGGTTTAGGTAGAAGGAGAGGAGGTATCCTACTACCATAGGGAAGGAAAATATGGTATCGTGTAAATCCTTCCCTTACATCTGATAGATAAAATATACTGCATGTACATTACAAACGAACAGTGAATATGAATTATAAGCTCAGTGACGTGCGCATTTGCTCACAGGTATCTAAATCAGCAGATTAATGGATGCCATTTTTATCTTGCTTTCAGCTTTTACAATGCTCTTTCTCTAGAAATGAATTGCTTCAAAACAAGAAATCGGTTTCAATTGATAAAACTCCTATTCAAAAATATCTACATAGAGCTTCTCCGCTATAAATATTAATTAATTGGACTGCCGGTACCCATAATGCAACTTTGTTCTGACCCATGTGCCCTATGAACTAGATATTTTTTGGATTCAATTTTCTTAAAACCAACTGTCAGCATCATGTGATGGAGGAGATGAAAAATGAAAATGAGCAGTCCCGCTGTGCAGGTGGGTGACCTGTGGGAGAGAGTCTGCCTGGTAGGATTTTTACACGAACCATCAGACACAGACCAATTGATTAGATCATCTCATACCTGCCACCAACTAGGCTCAAGAGACTAATTAGAGAGAGTACTGCCTGCGCAGGCACCCCATTGACACCTAATTTGCTCAGCCAAAGCCTTTGGGGAAAATGTATTATCTCTGCAGCTGCACTTCATGCATTTCTGATTCGAGGCATAAGCAAGGAGTGCT